CTAGGTCATCAGGCTTGGCAATGGGGGCTTTTGCCTACTGAGCCCTTATACTGACCCTTCTGCAAACTTTAGTCTAATCAAATTTAATCTCTACTTAAATTATTGGGTCATTTTTTTTTCTGTTTTCCAAGGTCTCTCTCTATGCTCTCTTCCCCCCCCTCCCCGCCTTTGCTATGATATGGTTGTAGATCTTCTGTTTTCTATCCTCTTTGGAATTATTGAGCTTCCTAGATATGTACATGAGTCTTTTTCATTTTTCAATATATTTGGAGAATTCTTTGAATATTCTTTGAATATTTTCTCTGCTGCCCTATGGAAATACCTGTCATTCCAGAGTGACCATGAAGAAATTCTGTCAGTTTTAACCACTTTTATAATACTTAGTTTGGGGGGCAGCTAGAAATCACTAAAATTACCCTGCTATTAATTGATCAAAAATAACAATAAGAAGCTGTAGGGGATGACTTTGTTGTATGACAGCACTTTTCATGGGAAGACACTGCACACACGTCTACTCACCCCATATAAAGAACCCGTGATAAACCAAGTTTAGATACCACCAAAGTCCAAGTTGGTGATCCAGTGAGTTTTCTTGGGCTTTCTTTCAGGAATGTGGGGGAGGGGTTACCTACAGGAGCAGAAATGACTCAAAGACAGCTGCCATCACCAAAGCCCACCACAGCTAAGATGACATCTCACAAAGCTGGGAACATGGAGCACCCTGCACAGCCTGCAGGCAGCTCAACAGGTTGGAGGGTGTCCGTCCTTTCCTGGTGACTCAGGTAGTCTATGCTGATTCGAGGCAGGCACTGCTTTTTGCTTCTTCCAGCCATGAGGTCCAGTCTCAGGGTCTCCTTTGTAGCTTTGCTTGCCTGAGAATCTTCTTTGTAGCTATTTTGGGTTGTTTGCCTTCTGTCTTAAAGCTTCCCTGCAGAATGTAACGTTCAATTTTGTAAGAAAGTGCTATACCAACAGCTACATGTCAGAGTTATAGTTATGAATAATCTAGTTGTTTCTTTAAATATATAAGTATGAAGCTGAGTGGTAGTGGTATGTGCCCTAGGAAGGAAGAGGCAGGTGGACCTCTGAGTTCAAGGCTAGCCTGGTCTACAGAGAGAGTTGTAGGGCGGCCAGGGCTACACAGAGGAAACCTGCCTTGAAAACCCAGTATATATGAATGATATACATATGAACAGGGAAGTATGCATATATTGGAGTGTGGAATGTAGCCCAGGCTATCTAGCCTACATTGGCTTGTAAAAGATGGCAGTCTTCCTACCTCAGACTCCCAGGTGCTGCAGTTACAGTCACGAGTTGCTATACCTGGTTGGCCATTTTTACTTCACACTTTTTAAAGTATCTATTCAGTTTGCTTGTCCATTTATTGATTGCACTACTTAGTCTTTTGCTGTTTCTCATTTTTCATTTTTTTTAGTTCTTTATATATACACTGGATAGTAATTCTCTCAGATGAATAGCAGTGATTTTTTTAACCCATTTTCTTAATTTATTTCATTATTCTGTTAATTGTTTCCATCACTGTTCACAAGGTTTTTATTATTATTGTTACTATTTTTAAATATTTTTGATAGGGTCCCATTGGCCAATTTTTACTATTATTTCCCAAGATAGTGGAGTCCTTTCCAAAAGATTTTACTGATAGCTATACCAGGAAGTGTTTATCATGTTTTCTTCTAGTAGTTTAAAAGAGTCAGGTCTAATAAGGCCTTTGACTATTTTGAGACAGGGTTCCTCTGTGAGGTATTATGATATGTCTAGCATTCTTTTTATTCAGGATTGCTTTGGCTATTAGTATCTTTTGTGCTTCTATATGAAATGTATGGTTTATTTCTATTTCTGTGAAGATTGTAATTTGAATTTTGAAGGTTATATTTAATCAGAAGTTCACTTGGGGTAAAACAGTGTCATTTTTACAATTTCAATTTTGCCAGTTTCTGAACACAGGAAGTCCCTCAGTCTTCTAGTATAGTCTTCAATTTCTTTTATACACGGTTTGTAGTTTTCATTATACAATTATTTTACCTCCTTGTTTAGGTTTATTCCTAGGTACTTAAAGATATATTTTTTTAATTATGTGTGCATTGGGGTACATGAATAAAGTACCTGCAGAGTCTAGACGAAGGAATCATATTCTCCAGACCTGGCGTTGCAAGTGTCTAACTACAAAACGTGCTACCTGATGTGAAGTGCAGAGTACTGCTTAAGCCATCTCTTCAGCCTCGATTCCTTTTTTTTTTTTTTTTTGGTATAGTAGATGGCATTGTTTTTCTGATTTCTTTCTCAAGTTCAGTACTGTTTTACTTTTTAAAAAAGCTATTGGATCTTGTTTGTTGATTTCGTATCCTGCCACTTTGCTTGACATTGTATCAGATCTTAGATTCTTTTGTTTTTAGGATCTTACATATAAGTATATCTACGAATAAGGGGAATTTGGTTTCATCCTTTTCTGTTTGTTTCACTTTTATTTCTTTCTCTTGTCTTGTTGTGTTGGCTAAGATTTCGAGTGCTGTATTTTAAGATTAATGAGAAAGAACATAGCATAGAGCTTCCGGTGGTTCTGGTTAAGTTTTTACCAGTAGCCAGATAATTGGTGTTTAGTCCAATCACTTGCTAGATTGTTTTGTGGCTTTTACTGTGGGTTTCTGGAGACAAAATAATGATGAAGATGATGTAGGTATTTCTGAATTCCGGAGCAGTGCAGATAAGACCTTAAGATGGCTTTCTAATCCTGCAACAGGCTTATATGGTGGAAAGTAGAGGTAACTTTCCCCATTGCCTCTATACTATGCAAATTCCATGTTCCAAGTCTAGGCTGTACTTTTGCATTTTGCCGAAGAATGTGTTTTCTGAGTTTCTCCTTATCTTTGCTTCAGTCTGCACCCTCTGTTGGACCATTACCATGTACAAGGATGTTCTTTCTTGTCCTCTGTTCTACCCTTCAGAAAGGTCTGTATTCTCTCATATCTCTGTCTTTTTGGTTTCTCTTACAGCCTTGGGTGTCCTGGACTCACTTTGTAGACTAGGCTGGCCTCAAATTCACAGAGATCTCCTGCCTCTGCCTCCTTGAGTGCTGGGATTACAGGCCCGCACCACCACGCCCAGCTTCCCCATCTTTTCACAAGTAACACCAGTGCTACCTACCACCAGCTACCTCAAAGGCTGTTTCAATCCTACCCATAGGAAAACTTGGCAATTATTGAGTGGCTATAATCTGTCATCATGGAGTGTTTTCTGAATCAGTATTTTATATCTCTGTTTGTTAATCTCTTCCAAGTTTTCATTTGTGCCCTTTGTTTCCTCACAGCAGCTTTCCTTTGAGCTATGACTCTCAGTTTTATTTGATCTATTCAGTATTACCCCTGTATCTCGTCTTAACAATGAAATCCAAACAAAAATCAAATAGTGAATTTTGAAGTGTATTTTTATTTTTATTTTTTTTTGAGGCAGGGTCTTACTCTGTAATCAAGGTTGGCCTGGAATTTGCACTCTTTCTATTCTAAGTGTAGAATTATAGCATGCATCATTGCACTTTGCACATAAATCCATTTAAGTTCTATCTTTCATTTCTTAGTCTTAAAATTAGCTAAATGCAGTGGCACACATCTTTAATCCCAGCACTCGGGAGACAGAGGCAGACGGATCTCTGTGCGTTCCAGGCCAATCTGGTCTACAAAGTGACTGCATGACAGCCAGGGCTCTGTTAAACAGAGAAACCCATCTTAAAAAGAAAAACTTGAAATATGTGTTCTTTTTGTTGTTGTTGTTAAAACAAACAAAATAATTTATGTCTATTTCTCATGTCTTAATCTGAAATACAATTTTTTGGATTAGTATTTGCTTATGTGTGCCATTTAATCCTAATATCTAACCATTGGCCCTTTTGTTATCTCAAGTTGACCTTTTCCAGACCAAATGTTACTGTAGAATACTATACGTGGCCAGCAATGAGACTTAAGAGGAAGAGGCAGGAAAAATAGGGTACAAATGAAGGCTGGATATGTAGGGAAAGTGAGTACTAGAAACTACTTGGTTGTACTTAGGATGTCAGAGAGAAATACACCTAACAGTTAACTTGTTTATTTTTAAATGTCCTTTCTGGGGCTGGTGAGATGGCTCAGTGGTTGAGAATACTGGCTGCTCTTACAGAGGTCCTGAATTCAATTTCCAGCAACCACATAGTGGCTCACAACCATCTATAAAGGGATCTGATAGCATGCAGGTGTTCATGCAGACAGATAACTCAGACATTAAACAACATACATAAATAAAGAAATTTTAAGTGCCCTTTTTAGAGTTCTTTCGACACGTAAAGAGTGCTTTTTGCTGCTGCCAATTAAGTTCAATAAAATAGAAATATTTCTATGAAGGTATGAAGTAAACTTATTCTAGTAAACAATTTTCTAATGCCTATGCTTGTATCACTCTTCTTTGATATGTAGGTTTATGCCACTCTTCTATAATGTGTATGTTTACACCACTCCTCTTGGCACATGTTTATATCACTCTTCTTTGATACATATGTTTATACTACTCTTCTATGATGTGTGTTTACACCACTCTCCTTTGACACGTATGTTTACACCACTCTTCTTTGATACATATGTTTAGACTGTTCTTCTTTAAGCACTCAACAGCAATGTTTTCCCGTTTTTCATATGCCAACATTTTATAAAGATTTACTCCATATTTTAGGTCTGGCATAAATAAATGTATTTTCAAAATAAATACAGAACTAAGTGCATTGCTTTGAGCACACAATTGATTTACTCACCTGAAAATACAAAAGGATGGCTTTCCCAATTGTTGTTTTGTTCTTGTCTTTAAAGAAAGAGTCTTATAAATGACTCTAGATGAAGGAACAGTAATTGAGGATGATGTGGGAATTAAGAGGCCATGTATCCACGCAATAAGCCTATATTTTAGAAAAACCCTTGATGAGTCACATTGTCATGATTTTCTCTTTTTGCTCCTATGACCAGGTTATCAGTTACCAAAGCTTGATATGAACTTCCCATTGGATCATAGAGAAGAGACATGGGTAAAAGAATTGCAAGATCCCAAAGAAATGAAACAATTACTTGATTCCAAGATTGGTAAGTAATGATTCAGTTATATTCTCAGGAAGAATCAGCAGTAATCAGGGTAAAGAGCTTGGAACTGTGTTTAGGAATTTCTACATTCACTATTTACTTTCCTTCACTCCACCCCACCCCTACCCTGAGCACAATGACATTTTCAGTATCTATTTCTTCTCAGGTTTTGAGATGGGAATAGAAAATGAAGAAGATACTTCAAAACAGAAAAAACTGGAAAATATGTACCCATTTGTTGTAACTTTAGAAGGGAATACTCTCGATGGTCCTATTTTGCAGAAGGATTATGTGCAGTTAGAAAATCAGTGGGAACCACCCCCAGAGGATTTACAGACAGATTTAACAAAACTTGTAGATCCTCAGAACCCCACTCTAGGAGAGACACCTGAAAACTCCAACTTGGAAGAACCTCTCAACCCAAAGCCTCCAAAGAAAAAGAGTCCTGGAGAAAAACCTCACCGATGTCCTCAATGTGGAAAATGTTTTGCTCGGAAGTCACAACTTACCGGGCACCAGAGAATTCATTCAGGAGAGGAACCTCACAAATGCCCTGAATGCGGAAAAAGGTTTCTGCGCAGTTCTGACCTTTATAGACATCAGCGACTTCACACAGGAGAAAGACCTTATGAATGTACTGTATGTAAAAAGCGATTCACTCGGCGCTCACACCTTATTGGCCACCAGAGAACCCATTCTGAAGAAGAAACTTATAAATGTCTGGAGTGTGGGAAAAGCTTTTGTCATGGATCAAGTCTTAAAAGACACCTGAAAACTCATACAGGTGAAAAACCTCATAGATGTCATAATTGTGGAAAAAGTTTTAGTCGGCTAACCGCGCTTACTTTGCACCAGAGAACACACACAGAAGAGAGACCTTTTAAATGTAGTTATTGTGGGAAAAGCTTTAGACAGAGACCAAGCCTCGTAATCCACTTAAGAATCCATACAGGGGAAAAGCCATACAAGTGTAATCATTGTTCCAAAAGCTTCAGGCAGCAAGCAGGCCTTATTATGCACCAGGTCACACATTTTAGAGGACTTCTTTAAGAATTGTTAAAGGAAACAGGTCCCATCAAAAGTTAACACTAGCTCACAAACACTGTAGCCTGCACTAGCTGTTTGTCTTAGAAGTCTTTTGTCTGAACTTGTAAGTATAACTTTGAGGGGTGCTATTATTAAAAATCATCTTTCAAGGCATATGAGTTCTAGAGTGTCCACCTATTCTTGCAGTTTCTCTGATTTTAATATATTCTGTCTCTTTCTGTTTAATTGCAATGGAAATTTTTGGTTTCAAGGCGGCTGTATGATAAGCATAAGCACAAAGCAAATAAATGGTGGCAGTTGTTTATAGGTAGGACCAATATAATGGATGAGTAAAGGTATCTGTCACAGTACTACCACACTTGTTCTCCTGTATAATTAGTAAAGCAACCATTAGATAGATGTGCCCCAAGTGGCTAGAAACGAGGCAATGAATTTTGTCCAGCATAATAAACATGTTTCAGGGGGATTAGGATGAAGAGGATGCCATTGGCCTAAGGAGCAGGCTTGTTTCCATTTACAGTTTTATGCTTAGAGAAGTTGTGATTTTAAGTTTGGAATTTTATGGAGTTTGCTGGTCTGCGTGGTTGGCTGTCTCTGGTGATGGTGATTAGAGTGGAGTATTACATTTAGAACTGTATGGTAGGTCTAGCAGAAATAACTTGCAGTTGAAGTCGTACAAGTAAAATCTAATTTTATTTAGATGGACTGAAGAACAAGTATCCATGGATTTTCATTCTGCTTTCATAGTCTCTCATGTTTATTTCAGTGCTTTTGAAATCTTGTCCATTGTCTAAATCAGTGTCTCTCTGAATATGTGTCGTAGAATACTCTGTTCTGTAAGATGTTCTGCAAATAATTTTGGGAATTGCTTCTAGCTATTTGTCCTTCCTAGACTCATTATGCTCGTCAGCATATGAGACTCTTGGAAAGGTTCTAATTTAGTAAGGGAGAGGCTAAGGCACCTCTTGTAGCTCAGTGCTTTCCAAACTGATTTGACCCCAGAACCTTTTAGTAGTATTCCGCAAGTATCCCTTAGGACACACTGCCTTAAAAAGGATTTCTATAGCTATCAGTGTAGTCCTGTCACTCTAAATCTAGTTATTTGTAGTTTCAATGACTTTATGAAAAATTATTTGAAGATATAGATCTTTTGTATTATACACACATCATTTCATGGATTAAAATCATCAATTCACATAATTTGTGGGTTACTTAGTGATTTGCAGCCTCTGAATTTTAATTATACTTACACACAAACACACACATACCATTTTGAGGTGGCAAAGATCACTAATTCAGATAATTTATGAATTATCTGGTGATTCTTAACATTCTTGAATTTTACTTATAATATCACACACACAAACACATACATACACATACAGAGTTGCTACTTATATAAGTATTCTCATGTAATCATAGTAATAATTCAAATCTCATAGTAAGGGAGAAAGTCTCATTATCAATCAAAGCTGTTGATATGTAAAAATACTCATTGAGCTTAGTCCTTGTTATTAGATTCAAGAAATGGGACATTCAAGTATATTCCCTTTATGAGGATATGCAGTCATCTTTCAAGTAGAACTAAGGAAAATATATCTCTTCATTGGATTGAAGTTCTTGGAAGTGATATATAAGTATTTGGCGGGTATGTATTATGTGCCTAACTTGTCCTGTTCTAGTCTTAATGGAAGCTAGTAACAAAATATAATTTGTGTGTAAGGCTCATAAAGAGTTTATAATATCTATAGTTAAACAAGAGTTGGGAAACAAGTGGAAAACAATACAAGAGACCTTGTAATTAAGTGCCAAATCCTTTAAAGTGCCAGAGCCAGGATGTGTCTTTAATTCTTGGCATCCAGGTCCCTGTATGATGCTGCTAATAATTCTGGGATGAAAATTAGACCCCAGTAACATAGGAGGAGTCTGAATGTCGAGATTAAAAATACAGAATGTAATGGCTTCTCTCTCTCTCTTGTGGAATAGCATTCAAACCAGAACAGTGCCTTAGAATGGATGTGCCCAACTGCTCTGTATTTATATACTATTTTAATAAAGTGAAAATGTATGTATGCTCTTTCTGATTCTCTTGAATTAAATAATGATTGGAATGACTTAGAGCTCCTTCCCTTGTGCAGGGGCAACAAGCACCCCAATAGATGTTATATGCCCTTCCCAAGTTGGAATCACTTTCTGACTACAACCCTAGTGCTATGGTTAGGCATTACTTTAGCTTTTCATACAGTCAACTTCAGCTAGCCTGATTGGTGATAAACATAATATGAACTGCATCCTTTCCCTCATCTATCCCATGAATACATTTATAGAGGGTAGAAAATATCTTGTATTTACCCCTTTGTTACTTACCGTGCCCTATGTAGAATAGTAACCACTAATAAACATTTGTGGTGTTAAATCAAGAGACATATGGAGTAGTACTTGGATACAGGATACATTATTAGTACATTGCATTCATATGCCTAATTTGGGCATAAATAGAACCTACCTCCTATCATAAAGGGTACCCAGACTGACCTCACAAGTACTATGAAGATTAAATGAAATATATTTTGTTCAGGTCCTACACAGTATCAACATTAATAAAGATCTAAAACATTGTACTTTATATTTTAATATAATAATAAAAGCCTTTGAGATTTTCTCTTAACTATGGCCTTGATCACATTCTATAACTTTTATACACAATTTTCTTGATTATAAAATTGCTTGTTATGATAGTTTTCATTATATTTACCCTATTTTATCCCAAGAGCTATACAGTATTGCCATTTTCATTTTAATTTTTAGTTTTGCTATATTGTAATTGAAAAATCAGTTACATTCTATTGCTGCTTCTAAACTTTTTTTGTTTTGTTTTGTTTTTTGAGACAAGGTTTCTTTGTGTAGTCTCAAACTCTAAGATCTACCTGCCTCTGCCTACCGAGTGCTGGGATTAAAGGCATGTGCCATCACACCCAGCTTAAACCTCATTTTATTTTCTTTTTATATGTTTACTTTATATCTTGATGGCAGCTTCCACTTCCTCTTCTCCTCCCAGTCCCTCTATTCCCCCCCATCCTCCAGCCCTCCCCTTCTCAGAAAAGAGGAGGCTTCCCATGGATATCAGCCCACCTTGGCATATCAAGTTGCAAGGTGCATTTTCTTCTGCTGTGACTAGACGCAGCAGCCCAGTTCAACTTCATTTTTTTAAAAGACTTGTATTTATAAAATTTGTTAAGCATTCTAAAAACTATGGAAGAGAAGGGTTTCATTTGTGCATGTAATATTTAGAGTCTTGGCCTCATCATTCTTGTGAAGGAACAGGAACATAGAGAATGGGTTGCTCCTGATTCTGTCTCTCTATAGATCACCTTCCCTTGGCTAAGAGGAAATTTTTAAATGTCCTATGGACTTACATGTTACAATTTGAATAGCTGTCTTGAGTAAACAGAGGTGGTCAGACCAAATATGTAGCATGGCCTCTTCAAGGCAGGTTCGGAGCATGAACTTCCAAGATCCCATCCTTGCCCCTCCTGAAAGCTGAAAGAATGCACAGAGGTCCCTTTAACCTTTTCCACGACCCTCACCTCCTGAATCAGCAGGCTTTGCTTCCTTGCATGCCATGAGGTGGCAGAAGAGAGGCATTGCATCTGCAGTCCCTAAGGCATTCTGAAGGGTACCAGTGTTGGGCTCTTCCAGGAAACTGCTCCAGCTGCCCCCCCCCCCCCCCCCCAGTGCTTGCCTGGCCTGGAGTGGATATGCTAAAAAAGACTCAGAGCCTTCCTGCCCAGGCCTGCCCCTGCTTCTATACTCATTTGTAGCATATAAATAATGGGATGGGAAGAGGATTCCCATCTGTCACCCTTGATAATCTAGTTTCTCAATCGCCAATTCAGGTACTTATCCACTGCAATTTCTGTGGCAGACTAGATTCCTTTCTACACTCAGCAATATAGTATAGGTTACCTTATCAAGTCTTTTCTGGCTTACATTGTTAGGCAGGTCTTCTCAAAGATCCAGACAAAACTAAGTTTACACTTCCTAACTTTACTAAGACATTAAAATATTACAAAATGTAATGCATGCACACGAGTCAGTAAATTAGGTGGAAGTCTCCTGAGGAACGACATTCAAGTTTTTTTCTATCTTCACGTGCACACACACACACACACACACACACACAGGAAATTGTGTGCTAGAAAAGCATCTATTTAAATAAAAGGCAATAAAATAGAAAACAAAACAAATGTTAAGGATATAAGATATAAATTATATAAAATACAGATAACAAGATAGCCACTGTACATCCTGTCTTAGTAGTTACATTAATTTGTTTTTTTTTTTTATGTGAATGACCTTTGACTGAGTGTATATCTAGTCTGAGTACCATGTGCGTGTCTATTGCCTGGATACTGAGAATCAAACCTGTGTCCTCTTGAAGCACTTTTAACTACTGAGCCTTTTCCCAGTCCCAAATCACATTAAGTTTGAATAGGCTAAATAGTTAATGAAAATGTAGTCAGGTGGTGGTACACGCCTTTAGTTTCATCACTCAGGAGGCAGGTGAGTTAGAGGTCAGCCTGATCTACAAAGTGAGTTTCACAATAGCCAAGGAAACCCTTTCTGCAAACAAACACATGGAAAATGTAAACAGTAGCTTAGTGGATTTTCTTCTTTAAAAAAATGCTATGTTTGTAGGTTTTTTGCCTGCATGTATGTCTGTATGCTACATGTGTGCCCACAGAGACCATTAGAGAGAGTTGGGTCTCTTAATACTGGAGTTAGAGAATTGTGAGCTTCCATGTGGGTACCAGGCATTGAATCTGCATCCTCTGAAACAACAGCCTGTGCTCTTAAGGGTGTCTCTAGCTCCCCTCTGTGGTTTTTTAAAAGTATGATCCAACTGAGTAAAGGCAACAGGACCACACCTGAAATGTAAATACAAAATAACCTAGAAAGTAAAAAGGTGGAAAACAATAGATCTTAAGTATGCATGGGCATGTAACAATATTAATTATAGAAGAGGTCATGAACTTGAAAGGTAATTGTGGAAGAAATGGAATGGAAATAATGCAATTACAGCAGTGAGTAATCATATCCAAAATTCTCAAAAATTTAAACTAAAAAAGTGTGGGAAAAGGTATTGAACTTTCATATGTATCCCTTCAAATATATAATTATCATATGCTATTCAAAAATAAAATAAATTTCATAAAGACGTGCAAAACAATACCCAAAAGAAAGCTAGAGTTGATATACTAATGTTAGGAACAATATGTATTTTGTCTTGTTTTTATAATTTTTATTTGATTTTTGAGATAATGTAATTACACCATTTCTCCCTTCCCTTTATCACCCCTCTTAACCTCTCCTTTATCTCTTTCAAATTCATGGCCCCTTTTTTCATTAATTGTTGTTACATGTACATATATATTCCTAAATGTATATACATATATATTCCTAAATATCTTGCTCAGCATACTTGTATATACTAGTAACTACAATGTTACTTCTCCGATATGAATAATTGCTAAATTGTTCTAACATTATATGAAGTATCTACTGATTGTTGCTAAAAGTTCTTGTTATAAGAAAAACAACATTGATGAAATAGTCTAGCTAATTAACTCAACAAATAATTAAGCAAGAAGAACAATAAGTACAAGAAGGATTGATGTCCAAAATTGCTACAGTATTATTCAAACTGTCCATTTTTCATCAAACCATGACAAGATAAAAAATGACAGAGTGGTGGTGGCACATGCCTTTAATCCCAGCACTCAAGGAGTCAGAGGCAGGTAGACCTCTGTGAGTTTGAGACCAGCCTGGTCTACAAAGCGAATCCAGGAAAGCCAGGGATACACAAACCCTGTCTTCAAAAACAAACAAACAAACAAACAAACAAAACAAAAAACAAAACAAACAAACAAAAGCACAGAATTCTCTTTCCTCCAATTTATCAATAAGAGTACTGGCTAATCATTGCAATCAGCGTTTTCAGGACCATAGAAATAACTCCAAATCTCATGTTTATCAGGAAATGAGCGGGGAAATCTCAGAAAACAGGCCATGTTTATGGTATTTATACTTTTCTTCCTTCTATCTCCCCCTCTCTACCTTTGGCCTAATCTGAGGAGCTAACAGTCCACATTCAGAGTGGAGCCATTACCCAATAGGCCTCCAGAGTTACCAAATGGAGGAGGAACTTATGTAAAGCTTAAGTCTCATGGACAATTATTATTTGATCTATTCAGTGGCTTCTTGGAAGGTACCACTTATGAGATGGGTTATATTGGACCAAACTCTGAGGTCACCCAATAGAAAACTTTATGTCAATAGGGTTATTGGAAGGAGGTTTTTAATAAAGATGCAATTAAACAGGAGGAGCAATATTTATATTTCAGTTAACTGACACCATACCCCAAGGGTTGATTTCTAATACTGAAAAGAAACCAGCCTTGAAGAACCTAGCAACTGTCTTCATTAGCAGTGTAAACCTCAGGTTCTAGGAAACTTTTTGCTATGTGGTCCAGACTGGACTTGAACTCACTATATAGGCCAGGCTGGACTATGTCCTGACTCAGTCTTCTAAGTTCTGGGATTGTAATCATGTACTACCATGCCTACTTTTCTATTTACTTCCTCTAAAATATATGGCTTGTTTGAAGACTTTTTTTTTTGAGACAGGGTTTCTCTGTGTGGCTCTGGCTGTCTTGGAACTTGCTTTTAGAGGTCCAAAATTTGAAATTTGAATCTTGGGCAACATGATGTCTTGGATAAAAGTTTAGACAAAAAAGAGGGCAATTTGAGACAAACCCACCCTGCTGCTTGCACTAGACAGATACCTTTGCCTGGCAACCCACCCAGATACATACCCCTAGTTGGTGACCAAGGTCACATAGCCCTGCTACTAAGAAAAATCACAGGATGTGTTAATTGTTCCCCCTCCTTAACAGGAACAGATACCCTGCAGATGGACAGGCCAGGACCATAATGGCCTTAGTGCCTAAAATAGACCAAGGCTTGGAAAAGGCTTGGAAATTCCCTCTTGT